ATTATTGATAATATCATCATAAAATAATTATTAACAACATCCATTATATATCAAATAATAAATTAATATATTTGATGATTTAAAATATTTAAAACACTATTGGTGATAATTTGTTTAAATGTTAATATAAATTAATGAAATGTTCGTTATTAAAATTAAAATTCAATTTCATGTAATTGGGTAGTTATAAATTATGAGAAAAAAATAGAATTATGAAACGAATTATTTAATAGCATTAGAATATTGTAATTCAAATGAAGAAGGGAAGTGGATATAGTTTGAAAATAATATTATTTTTATTAATATTTTTATTAATAGAATATTTTCGTTTTTATATTTAGTTAGTTTGTTATTCTTTTTTTTGTTATTTGGTATTTTGATGATAATGAAATATTTCATTATTAAATCTTATCATTATTTATTTCTGTTTTATAATTTTACAAATTTTTCTCTTTTAAATTTTGTTTCTTTTTATAAAAATTATTCTTTTTTGGTAATAACCATTTTTGTTATTTTATTTATTTCTAGTTTCAAGAAGATTGATGGAGGAGAGGAAATTGGTATGAACTAAACACCACAAAACAGTTATAAAAATTATAACAAGTTGTGTTTAACCAATCAATTGAAATGAATGAGTGTTAATAAGAAAGAAGAATAAAATCAATATTTAACAATAAAACAATGATGTCTATGAATATGGCTAATGAAAAAGGTATATTCTCTTTGAAGTGTTTAAGAAAAACTAAGAAATAGAAGAGATAATATAAATATTAATATAATGATGAGAAAATGGTATTATATTTGATAATATCAAAAGAACAATGATTCAATCAGAAAAAGAAGATTATTATACAGAAATGAATTAATAATATGTATATAAACAATAAACATTGAAAGATAAAAAGAAATAATGTAAATATAAAATAAGAAGATAGAAAATGAGAAAACGTAGAATATTTAAGAAAGATGATTGAGAAATAAAAGAAATGGAAATAGAAAGTAAAACAATAAAGCAGAGAATATAGGAAATGATAAAATTAAATGAAAGGTAAATAAATACAAAAGAAATAAAAAGAAATAAAAGAAATAATATGATAAAGATAAAAAGAATACAAAAATAGATGAAATAATAAAAGAAAAAAACAGGTAAATGTTTATGTAAGAATGGATAAATTGAATTAGAAATACAAATAATAAAAGAAATGAAAGATAGTATTAATACTTCATTTCATAATAAAATAAATGAAATAAATAATAATTTTAATAAACAAATAAAATTAAATGATAAAAGAATGAAAAGTATATAAAATAATGAAATATGTAAAAAGTATGATATTGAACTAAATTTAAATCTTCAATAAATTAAACATTTGATTA